TTACGTTGGCTACATACACATACTAGACACAGTCAGAGAATTGACGAGTAGCGGGTACATGTACGTAGAGATGGTATAGAAAAATAATATTAACACGCAAACATGAGTTGAGGATGGAGGTTGTTCATAGAAGGCACGTAGACTATACAAGGTAGACACAGTCAGAGAATTGACGAGTAGCGGGTACGTAGAGATGGTATAGAAAAATAATATTAACACGCAAACACGAGTTGAGGATGGAGGTTGTTCATAGAGATGTTCATAGAGATGGTAGAGATGGTATAGAAAAATAATATTAACACGCAACCACGAGTTGAGGATGGAGGTTGTTCATAAAAGTTACGTTGGCTACATACACAGTAGTCAATACATACTAGACACAGTCAGAGAATTGACGAGTAGCGGGCATGTAGAGATGGTATAGAAAAATAATATTAACACGCAAACACGAGTTGAGGATGGAGGTTGTTCATAGAAGTTACGTTGGCTACATACACAGTAGTCAGTACATACTAGACACTGTCAGAGAATTGACGAGTAGCGGGCACGTAGAGATGGTATAGAAAAATAATATTAACACGCAAACACGAGTTGAGGATGGAGGTTGTTCATAGAAGGCACGTAGACTATACAAGGCTTCACAAAACATCGAGTTCACAGGCACGGGACGGTAATAGAGGGTACAAAACAAGACTTCACAGTACAGTTACGTTGGCTACATACATAGCAGAGAGTACATACTAGACAGAGTCAGAGAATTGACGAGTAGCGGGTAGATCTACGTAGAGATGGTAAAACACAACATGGAGAACATAAAGTACATACCATGCACAGGGCTCTGGAGCTATCGAACTATATTTGGTACTCAGCCTGTAATTATGCCTCGGACTTGGAGTCTTGTCTTTGCTTGGACTTGAAGTTTGAACACAATCAAGGCAGCGGCGGAGGCGGCCGGCAACGTCACTAGATCTAGATCAATTCTAGACTGGAACTGTCTATCTCACTAGCAGCAGTCTAACTCAGAGTTTAGACATGTTCTCCAACACATCAGTGTTGATTTGGGTTCGGAGATCCACACTTTTTCTTGTGGAACTGTAGAGTACCACTCTCACGGGAGGTGAGGCTGGTGAGCAGCTAGCACCTGATAGCTGATCAGCTATATCAGGGATGAGATGAACTGTCCCAGACAGCAAATGAAGTGTATGGGACTGTATTGAGTTTTGGCGCTTTTTATAAATTTGCAAAGTAAAGTGAGAGAGGATAAATTTCCATATATCTAACCCAAAATTATTTGAATTAGCTGATTAGATATATCAGCAAATCCCTAATCAGTTTTCTAGCAAGAATTAAACCAAATGACTATTCAGAAACAGAAAATATGATCAAATTTAGAGTAGCAAATTTAGAGCAGCCCATCGCATGCACATGAATCGTACAAACAAGTCAAACAGAAATTGGCAACTCTAACTATGACGTATCATGCGAGCTCAACTTCCATTTGCTCAGTACTAAAAAAATCTAAAATTTTCATTTTCCCTCAAGAAAAATTTCAACCATACATGCACCCTAAATATAATAATTGCAAATATGTTTCTAACTTTCTATACTCTCCCTGCAAGGAACAAATATATATTCCGTCATCAATAACGAAGAAAACATGATTTTATGGAATATTATGCACAAAGCAAATGAAGGAGAGCTCGTATGATAAGTCACAGAGTTGCCAATTTGTATTTGATTGATCACAACTTCAATAATTCATAACTTTCTTATTTTCATTCAGAATTTGCTCAAACTTTCACTCATCTGATTTTCTTATTATTCTGCCTCTATCGAAACAAACTTATTTTGGGGGTGGACTTTCCCTTTAAGCCTCTTATTTGGGTAGGGTCGGCTCTCTCTTTAGAGACGGAAGCCGACCATACCGGTGTGTAAATCAGTGCACCAAACTTGCAAAACTTATCCTGCTTAGAAGTCTATCCCCGAATTACTCCTTTCACAGGCATCTCCGCTGCATTTTAGGGTAGAAGGCCCAGTATTTGGTCACTTAAAGAGAAGGTCGAGTTCTGGGAAGAGGTGAAAAATAATTTGTGAGCATTACTCATTCTTATTATGCAAGTGTGGAAGAACATCAGTTAAGACATGTTCCCTGAAAAGCATGGCTCTTCAAATGCCTTCATATTTTATATATGCATGTAACGTCGTAAAAATCGGGGGCCGACTTTTTACGCCACATGTTCGTGTAGTCCCATATACATCTTTCTGTGCAAGTGTTTGTAACTTTACCAAGACTTGGCCAAATTTCTTATCATTTTGATGATTCCAGAACCTTGCAATACACACAAATTCTTATATGCTAGATGATCAACCTTTTCTGGTCGGTTCCACACCGTTTCTTTCACAATGCAATCGCATGACCAGAACTCAACTTCATCTTTAAGGGGAAATCACTACTGTTTTGAATGCTTACCTCTTTTATTGGGCAATCTACCCATCAAAAGAAAAGATATTTATTCCTCTAACAGGATTTTAAAGTCACTTAAAATATAGAATAACGATAAGCAAAATGCTTCCGAAAGAAGACGGAGCATTTTTCTGCCCAGAATTCGGTCGCGCAGAATAGAATTCGGTCATGCGATTTGTGCGTGGTATCTCCGTTGCCAAGGAGCGAAGCGTATTTGCGCACTATTTGCGCACTATTTTCACACAATTGCGCGATAAAGCACTGAATGTCAATGCGTTGACTGAATACTGGACGAGCGATACCGCATGGCAAGGGTATCGTCTAAATACCTCTAGCTCTTGCACATCAGCAAGTGCGTCATTTGCAAATTCGCTGCGATGGAGTGAACACGGAAGTGATTCTCTTCATACACATACTAAATTCATTGCAACAGCACATATAGTTGTTTCGCAATAGACTTCTACATATGGCTATGCATGTTAGCGCATGTGCTAACAGAACGCGGAAGTGCAGAAAGTTGTGCGACACTGACCAATTTCGAGTTAAAGGTAAAGACCAGTTATGGTCATGCGATTGCATTGTGAAAGAAACGTTGTGGAATCGATCAGAAAAGGTTGATCATCTAGCATCTAGCATCTGCAAGGTTCTGGAATCATCAAAATGATAAGAAATTTGGCCCATTCTTCGTAAAGTTACAAGCACTATACACAGAAAGATGTATATGGGACTACCCTATAATCTCTCACAGACCATGAGAGAAACAAATTTACCAAATATATGAATTAGTAGGCGGTTTTTCCGGCAAATTTTTTATCATCATGTATTAGTCAAAACATATTCTTTCACATGATTGGTAATGAGAGCTTCCATTTCATTTTTTGAAATTGGGGCGTTTCCAATACTGGTCTTTACCTTTAAGTTGGAGATCTTTCCGGGGCCCTAAATCTGATTTAATTTTGAGAGTTAAGAAAAGTTGTTCAGCTGCCTGATTTGTGCAAGTTTCGTGGCTCATAAATGACTTTTTAAATTGTTACAGCTGTTGAAACGGCTGTCTGACCGAATACTGGAAATGGACCAAATACTGGGCGCGCTACCCTATACTATAAGCTTAGGTTCCACTTACCAACTTGACTGAAATAATCCGTTTAACTCTTATCATGCCACAGGGCTAATCCCCATTGTGCCAAGCCCCAAATCCCCCAGTGCCTAGTTTATATTGAGATAATCTGATTAACGTGATGGTTCTATGAATAGCGCGTGCAAAACACACAGCACACTACAATGAGCATGAACAATAACTGCTCCTACGAATGTGTGCAAGCATGCTCATGGCAGCATAGCATAGCAGTGGTTTGATCGCATGTACAAAGCACTATAACGATAGCGTGTATGCAGCCTTATGGCAGGCTATGAGTTAATGGTCCATTTTTAGGAAATTATGGGTCAAAATCGACATCCATGATAAAAATCTTGCAGCGGTAGTTTAAACTCAAATTATTTGAACAAATTTTGGGGGCTATTTTTCAAGCTAGCTTGCATGAAAATAACGCTTTTTAATTTGCATTGAACTCTATGCATATTTTGGGGGCTCTTTTATGACTTTCGGGGGCTTTTTTGGCATTTCGGGGGCTAATTTGCCCCGAGCCCCCCATGTAATTTTCCCCCTGTAAAGCCTAGATCCTCCTCTTTCATTTGATGCAACTGACTTGATGCATATTTCACGCATAGACGTGATTAAAATCAATTTGAAGGAAAAGGAGGAAGGAAACCAAAAAGTCATTTGGCGGGCGGTATCTGAATTTTGAAGAAAAATTCACATTTCTAGGAAGTAGAGTTTCTGCCCTTACATGTATGACACGTCAATCAGGGAAAGTGAGTAAGGAATAAGAAAGTCCTGTTTGTTTAAATTGATGCTTGCATTTCCATAATTTTATTAAACAAATTGGTTTTCACTGGCTGCCTGCCGTAGGCGTAGCAACAAATGGAATGGTCAAAAGACTTAACTCCGTTTCATTGACAATCAGCCATATAGACGAAAGACTTCATGCATGGCTGATTTTCAACGAAACAGAGCTAAGACTTTTGTCAATTCTGCTTGTTGCTATGGCAGACGGCCTATGAAAACGAACTTTTAATATCAAATTATAGAAATGCAAGCATCACTTTAAACAAACAGAACTTTCTTATTCCTGGCTCATTTTTCTTGATTGAGGTGTCATATGAAAGGGCAAAAACTGAACTTTCTAGAAATCATGAGAGAGGAAGGGAGAAGTATTCTTTGTTTCATCCTATTAACATAATTAAGAACTACTTAAATTTGTTTAGAGAGAGAAGTAGACCTGCAAAGATTTAGAATGAAATGTATTCTGACATGTATGGGTGATTAAGTCCTGGAGAGAACTTGTAAACTGGATGTGAACTGCTCTCATCAGGACTACCACTCCTTACATGGTAGATGTAGAACAATAAACCTAATAAATGTCTGTAATCAATTATATTGTGTTTTTTTTCTTTCTGTTATTGTTTTCCATTGTAGATCTGCTGTGAAGTGAAACTTTTGATGGAAAATGGCATCAGTCAACCAGGACCAGCAACCACTCAACTTGGCTTCAAGAATGGATTGGCCTAATCCAGTGAGTCTTGATGAGATGAAAGGTATATTTGCATCTCAAAATGTTGATCTGGATGCTAGAGACGAACGTGGTTGGTCACCTCTGATGATCGCTTGTGCTAAAGATAAGAAGGAAATGGTCCAGTTCCTCCTTGATCATGGAGCTGACCCCAATGCGAAGGGCTCTGAAGATGAAAACACACCAATGCACTGTGCTTCCGTGGGCGTCTTCTGTACAAATCTTCCAAGTTTAGGTCAGTTTTCCCTTCAAGACACGGGCAGGCCGTCAAGTAAGGATATTCTCAGACTTCTCATCAATCATGGCGCAACACTGACCTGTAACTCAAATGGACTCGATCCTCCTTGCATCGCAGCAATTTACAACTTCCAAGACATCGTTGAATTCTTTGTCCAGGGAAAAACCCATGAATTGCAATTGTCCAACGCAGAAAAGGCAAGAGTTTATGAAATTCTTGGAGTGGCAGTGGGCCTTAATGCTCACTTCAATGTACCTGCTTGCACAGGTGAGGAACACCCATGTACACATTTCTGCAGAGCTCTGTCTATTCACAAGGAAAATGGTATTAAACCCTATGGGAATCATGGAAAGTCTTTAGTAGCTGCTTCTTTCTTTCTTTTCTCTGAAACAAAGGAATGTAAGACTCAAGAAGACTTGGAAAACATCAAGTCAGATCAGTGGTCTTTAAAGAACCAGTGCTTCTTGGTTGCAGAAAGAGTGCTCCCAGAAGAAATAAAAGATAGCTACATCTTTCAAAGAATTTACCAGCATGGGCTTGATGGCGTGATGTTTCACAAGGGAAAGATCCAGGAAACACTGTCACAAGGCTCTCAGATCTGTAGAGAATTAATACAGTTGGAGCTGGAATCAAGACTCGAGGTTGGCTCAGTCCTTGTAAAGATAGTGAATGGTATCTGTTACGAAAAACTTGAAGATGAAGTAGTTGATGAGTGTTACAAGTTGGTAGATCTTTGTTTGCAGGTGTTTAGTAAAGACTCCCAGGACCTTGAACTCGACTTTGATTTGGTGGATGAATTTGGCTATTTATTGTTCAATATTGCTAACTGTGACTCTGCCATGCCAAAGAGAATGTTTGAACCACTGCTTCAGTTTGGTGAAGGAATGGTAAGAGTTATTAGAATGCAATTTGGTGAAAAATCTTGTGTAGCAATCTCTCACTGTATTTTGGAATGCATTAATGAATTGTATGTACCGGTAAGGTCTTCCAAAGACAGGGGAAAAGAGTACCGTCGAAAGCAAGTAAAAGAGAAGCGCATGAGGCACTTGATCTTAAGGATGATGCGATGTGAAGATGCAACTCAAATTGACTCTAACGGGAACTCAATGATGCATTCGTTATTTTTTGGAATTGGTCTACATAACAAACAGCAGTTCACAAAGGAAATTGCTCTGATCCTTATTCGCAATGGGTGTGATATTGAAGCGCGCGATGCTGATGGTGAAACAGTGAAAGAGATGATTTGTAACCATAGACGTTTCGATCCAGATGCACCAGAAAATGAAGAGCTAATGACCCTGTTATCCCCACCAAGAACAACGTTACCTCTACAAGAAATAGCAGCAAGAACAATCCTTCGCTGCAAGATCCCGCATGAGGGCATAGTACCAAGACATTTGTCTGTTTTTCTTACAGGGGAAGTAGAATACTCAGACTCAGAACTCTATCTATCTCCTAGTGACTGTGAGTCAAGAGAAAGTGAGTAAGTTGAATGGGGTTATTCCAGTCCTGATGGTAGTGTATCTGATGGTGTTATGTCTGATTGGCCAGATAGTCCCTGGTCTCATTATTTATACGAAATGCTCGGCCACTAGTAATACACTTGCCCTCCAGTACCAGTACCAGGAAACAAATAGGTGATGGGGCTTTTAAAGAGAAGGTTGAGTTCTGGGAAGAGGTGAAAAATTATTTGTGAGCGTTACTCATTCTTATTATGCAAGTGTAAAGGAACATCAGATAAGACATGTTCCCTGAAAAGCATGGCTCTTTATGCCTTCATGTTTTAAATATGTCATGTAACATCGTAAAACTCCAGGGTAGGATTTTTACGCCACGTGTTCGTGTAGTCCCATACACTATGAACATGACAGACAAAGAAAGCGGACAAAATATACAGTTCACTGCTATTAAGTAAAAATGTGTAGAACAGGTGTCGCATGCATATTTACCTTTTTACATAATAGCAGTGAAGGGATGTTCCTTTGTCTACCTGAGGAACTGTATATTTTGTCCGCTTTCTTTGTCAGTCATGTTCATAGTGATATACATCTTTCTGTGTACAGTGTTTGTAACCTTTACCAAGACTTCTGACTTGGCCAAATTTCTTATCATTTTGATGATTCCAGAACCTTGCAATACACACTAATTCTTATATGCTAGATGATCAACATTTTCTGGTCGATTCCACACCGTTTCTTTCACAATGCACTCGCATGACCAGAACTCAACTTCATCTTTAAAGTTATTGCCCCAAAACCCTGAACTCCTCGCACCCTGTTCTAAAGAATTGCCCTACTCTTGCTGCTTTCAATGCGTGTCTTCAAACACATTTTAATTTCTTTTACCATTCTTCTTTGTTCTTTATCACTGTATGCTTTGTATTATAATGTTCTTTTGCTTTGTCTGAATTTGAATTTTATTAGTAAACTTCATTCATATACATGAACATTTCGTTCCACAAGACATATATAAAAAATTATATCAACAAGAACATCAACAAGTGGTATAGTTTCTCGAGTAATCACAAATTAACAATAAATATTGTAGCTTGTATATACAGTGGTAAATGATATTATAACAAATACTTATATGACATGTACTAGCCTACGTTTGACAATAAAGATTCAAACAAATGGGAATGATACAAATTCCCTTGCAAGTTCTTAAGTTTGAAGGTATTTTTCCGGACATCTATGTCTTCCAGTTTCTATCGGTAGGTTATGTGAACTAATTCTAAATCGGCAGGTATTTGTTCGTAGTCCACGGTTTTTAACGGTTAATAAATATTTCTCTGATTGTATACTCTGCTTGAATAGATTATGTGTTCTCAATTTATTTTGTTCATTGCCATTTACACAATCACTACATAAATCCATCAAGAACTGGCGATGGTAAGAGTCTTCCATTTTGGTTTCTATTTCTTCTCCAACTACTCTATCACTATCGGTAATTTGTAATTATTTGCTTTTTATGCGCTTTGTATTTTATGAAAAGGCTCTTTATAAATGAAGTTGACAATTCTAATAACTCTTACACTGTATTTTATTATTATGGTACTATTTTGTAATATCATTTTGTGTATTACCGGTAACCATGAAAGATAAATTAAGTTCGTTTTCTGTAATCAAATTATACTGGTAAACTGGACGCTAATTATGATTTCGATTTTCATTGTGATCTTATTTGTGTATTTGTCAATATTCATACCAAAAGCACAACATATACGATAAAGTAGGAAAATATTAAAAATGGTAAAAAAATAGAGGCGAGAAAGGGACAGAGAGAGGGGGTGATAGATAGAGAGAGAGAGAGAGAGAGAGAGAGAGATGTAAAGTTGTAATGAGGGAGAAGGGGGAAGATGAAAACAGCTACAAATAGATAGATAGGTCGCTATTTTTTCCCAATGTATTATATATGTAATGTAATATACGATACTGAAAGAAGCGAAGTGGACAGAGAAGAGGAGAATGAGAGAAAAAAAGAGAAGGTGAGATAAGGAAGAAGGAAGAGGTAAGGAGAAGAGAGGGGAAAGGGAAAAGAATGAGAAAAACAAGGGAAGGTGAGATAAGAAAGAGAGAGAAAGAAGAGAGGGGATTAAGAAAGATAGAAAGTAGAGGGGAGTGACAGAAAGAGAGAGGGAAACATAGAGGTCCGATAGAGACTGAAAAGAGGGAATTAATCTTTAAAGTCAGATTTTCGTTAGCATAAACAAAAAATAGAATAGTAATTTAGAATCAATAGGAAGTAGCCCCAACAGAAAACACACATATAGCCTACATTTATAAAAAGGCATAAACTCTTGCAACAAAATAATTGCGTCAATCCTGCCTTCATTTATACACAACACGCAGAATCAAATAACGGAAACTAGCGTAGACAGAAATTGGGGCTCTGTCATGTTCGTTATTAGAAACAGACTAGCGCCATCTATCAGAAATCAGTAACAATCGCCGTGATTTTTTTTTTAAATGGTGTATAGCGCCATCTCTTTAGGTTTGTGACTAAATAGATAAAGAGTAAAATCCAGATTAAAGTTACTATGTCCCTTGTGCAGGCCAAACAAATGAAAAGGTTAAATTCCAATGGCCTTTAAAAGATAATACTAATCTAGAACTCCCTTTAAAAAAAAGGGGGCTTGAAAATGTCTTTAAGTGGGAAAATAACGACTAATAGTTGTAAAATCGACTTAAAAGCTATAGAGCCAATAAGTAGTAGTCTTGATTTTCATACCATTGTACCGCATGGTCGTACGTTTTATGCTGTGCAAATATTCAATCAGTTTAGTTTTCGCCATTACAAGAAGTGGGCTATTGATGTAGACAAATCCTTTACAGCTCATTTTATGTATGTTATTACCAAAGAAGAGGGAAAGCCAGTCAGTCACTCAATACTGACAATAGTGTCTGACAGTGAAGTCTTGAAAGTAAACGGGTTTCCTTGCATAATTTGAGTATTAGAACACTGCAAACTTTTAAATTTCACAGATAGGACATACCTGACATATTCATAATTCCAGTAAAGTTCTGCAGAATTTGAGGTTGGCTGCAAAAAGGACACTTTAAGTTAAGAATTTAGACAATCTTAATTTAATCAGATTTAAAGGTACTATGTCCCATTTGAAAAATAATACTAATTTAGAACTTCCCTAAAAAAATGGGGCTTGAAAATGTCAAGTGGGAAAATAACGACTATTAGTTGTCGAATCGACTTAAGAGCTATAGTGCTAGCTAGTAATGGCCTGATTTTCAGACCAATTAAGGTAGATCTTCATGTATATTTGTATTTAAATATAATTTTTGAGTCATTCTGGGCCACGCGCCCGGGGGCCACGTACCTGGTTAAATTATTCTTCACGCGTTCATATTTTATTTTTACCTTGAAGATACCATAATTGTTACCAAGTTTTTAAAAAAATCTGTCGTCTACATTTAGAGTTTCTAGGATCAGGAACTGCTCTGAGGCTGAAAAGGGGTCAAATCTTCGGAAAAGTATAGGTAATTAACATCGTTTTTTCATTGCATAATAATCTTAATTCTAAGGTTTTGAAATTTAGCTCTAAATTATTTCATGTGATGCTTATATTCAGTTGCTAGCCAGTTTTTCTCGATCGTCTCCAAAAGAGGATTTGAACATGTAGTCCCATGTGTTGTGTAATTTGTATGGGAAATGATGACAAATAATAGTCTTTGTGCATGTGTGAGACATAGACGCATATGCGGTTAGCTCTGATCTGTAGTGTATATATAATATTGCAAGACATGCAATGTCTCTTTTGTTAAACTGCTGAGGTGGAAATTGACCGGACATCTAGCAACAGACGGCTACGCTGACTCGAGCTGCTGCAAATCTTTGCTGATGAAAATTTATATTGCCATGGAATGGTAACTAATTCTTCTCTTGAAACCGTAACAAAATGTATCTCCAGGGTCCAGGCCACGATTTCAATTTAAAAAAAATTAAAAACTGTGGATAAATGAGGCCAAAAGTTGGATTTAAAAAAAAAATAAATAACCTCCCTTACTTTCTCAAGTCAAGAGTGATGCAATGACATGTTTGGGACGAAAATCCCATTTCTTATGAATAACATGTATTTTTATAAAGTGGTCAGGGGGATTTCGCACCATAACATTTGCGTTTTTCCACTAGGGGGGGTTTTAGCGGATCCCCCATATGCTTTTCGAATTCATCTTGTGAGAAATGAAAATTAATTTTGCCATGGCAAGATTAAATTCTTTTCAGGAATTTCTCTTTTTATTTTAAACAGTTACTAAATGTACTTCCATATCTTCATATCGTCTTGATTCTCTCTTTCTCTCCCCATCAGGAAAGCTAGGGTTAAGAACACAGCTCATGACTTCTACCTATGACTTAAGCAGTGCTGAGCCTGAGATGATGAAGGAGAACACTTCAAGAAGGATGGGTATAGGTGGCCGTCTCCGGGAGTATTGGCTAGCCTTCAAGCTAGTCTTTAGGTCACTCACCTATAACTCCTTTACGTCTAGCAGTATGGCGATTGACATTGCCATGGAGCCTGTTATCTGGACTGTGGAACACATCACTAAGTACATGGGACCTGTAAGTAGTAGTTTGGTGTTTTTTTAAATTTTATTTTCTTTGCCTCATCAGAGGATTTATTAGGTATACATGGTTTACATTCAAAGATACAATGATACAAATCAAACTTAAACAATCAGAAAAGCATCATAATTGGTATAAACAAAGAATTGAAATTAATTTTTGTTTTGCAAAGCATTTGAACCATCATTAATATAAGAATTATACTGATAGTTTTGTTTCCCCCTTTTTATTTATTTTTTTATTTTTTAAATAACATGTAACAACTCTTTTGGTAAAAACATGTGCTCTCTGGTCATAATTATATTTAGTAGTATGGTGTTGATACCTACATCATTGTAATTAGTAAATCATTACTTACATGTAGTTCTTCTCTTGTAAGAGGCAGCAGAATATTAAAATGAAACTGTTATGAACATAAAGAATTTACTATATGTCTCTTGTGGTCATGGTGACCCTCCCCCCCCCCCCCCCTCCAAAAAATAACCCTGACTGGGTGTGTCATTCACCCGTAATTTAAGGGCCATGACCCAGTGGGTTCGTTATTCACAGATCACCATCTCCCAGCAAGGTACTAACCTACACTCAATGCCATAACCTAAACCACCAGAGAAAAGAAATTCTAATCTACACTATTTCAGCTAATTTTGCTAGTCGGGTCTAAATGAGGAGGATACTTGAGAAAAGAAAAAGTGGAGGGAGGGAGTGTCACCGTGACGCAAAAGTCAGTAACCCCTCATGAGAGGGAAAATGCTGACTACAATAAATGATGATGATGATGATGATGATGCACTGCACTGTTGTATAAAATGAGACTTTGGGTTTAATATCAAAACTCAAAATCATCTCTTGAGAGAGAGGTGAGTCAAGAATACTGTACATGTAAGTTTTAACAAATCCCATCATGCAAAAAACTTTTTTATCCGTTCACATTGTTGAACAATTGAATAAAAAGTCAGGACAAATTATCTCATGCTACTTTTCAGAAATCTGACCAAGGTTGACCCAATGTTTGCCGTGGGCTTTAATTCATCAAAGGTAAAGGGTAAGGGTTTGCGTAGCAATTGGGTTTTAGATTTGGTTTAGGTTTAGAGTTAGGTATAGTGTTGGGTCCAGAGCTGAATTTAAGAATTCGGTTAGTGTCAGATATTGATGGGGAACAATTGTCACAGGAACAAGTATTACATTACAACCCAGATGAAGTGCCACTGCACTATTAATCTCCCCCACCAAATGAAACATTTTTATCATATTTGCAGATGATGGTTGGCATGGTGATACTACTTACTACCTTTGTAGTTGTGATCATGTATCTTATAGTTCTGCCCGAGTCCATGGTACGCTCATCCTATGAGCTGTGGATCCATCTCATCTTTGGCCAATGGGTGATGGTCAACATTTTATTCCATTACTACAAGAGTGTGACCACTAAACCTGGACACCCACCACCTGTAAGGATATAAACAAGTTTATTAACTCTTATCCTGCCATAATGAATACAGCCCAGTGCCACAGGGCTAATCTCCATTGTGCCAAGTTTATTTTGAGATAATCTAATAATCTCATGGTGCGATCAATACCGCGTGCAAAGCACTCAGCACAGTACAATGAGCATGAACAATAACTGCTATTACGAATGCGAGCATGCATGCATAAAGTAGCTAAGCTGTGGCTCGCTCGCGTGTACAAAGCACTATAACGGTAGCGTACATGCGGCCTTATGGCAGGATATGAGTTAACAATATTTTTTTTTCTATATGGAACTCCATTTAACAAAAATTAATAGTAATGAAAGCGAAAGTCAGCATAGATGTTATCCTGAAATGTCTATGATGTACATTCGTTAATTCTATATTTCATGTAATTTTTCTGACAAACGCCTGCATGTGTGCTGACAAGTTCTGAAGTTAAAAGAGAAAATCATACCACTCATGAGAAACATACTTTGAGAAAAATAGACAAGGCAAGATTAAAATTGAAAAAGGAAAGGAAAAGGAGTATTTTTATCACTTATGTACATTGAATGATGAAATTGACTTTGATTTTATGTGTACTTCATTAGTGAGCAAGAATTTGCTATCATTTACAAAATTACTGGATGGTTAATTCTTGCAAAACAAGGTCATGTTTTAGACAATTCTTTTATTAGGAGATAGTTAGGTATTTTGTTTTTTAATCTAAAATTAAGGAAGTTACATGTCTAGCACTGCTGTCCCCTGAATACTAAATTTTCCTTTCTCTGGCCTCCATGTATCAGGGTTGGCATATTTCCCGGTTCGGAGGCTTATTTCCCTGACGCCGGGAAATAAGCGGTATTTACCGGTATTTACCGGTAATTACCATATTTTTTCCACTCACTTGTTCATAGGGATTGTCCAATTTTGAACATAATAACAATGGTGGTGAGTATGGTTGCTCTGGTGTGTACTATTTGCGTGGGTGTGTGTGTGTGTGTGTGTTTGTTCGTGTGTTTGTCTATGTCTGTTATTATGAAATGCTAGAAAAAAATGCAGGAAAAAGATCCCAAATATACACCTAATCTAGATATGATGTTCTTCATTAAGTCAGTTGCTAATTACCATATTCATGAATACCTATTAATTAGCATATGAACAAAATGCCATGTGTTTGGGTGTGTACATGTATGCAGTGTGGATTTTATAAATCTGTTTGTGTGTTTCTACTATGAGTGTTGTGCTGCTAATTATTTCAGAACAATATTTTTCAATTGTTGAGGCTAAAAACAAGTTAAATTATTAATAAATAGAGAATTAAAATCATATTTCCTGTTTTTTTACATATTTACCGGACGCCCATCTTATTTACCGGACAATATTTACCGCCCAACCCTGTCCATGTTAGTGGTATGTATCATTGTCATGTCAATACCTGCTTTGAATAATTCGAAAGATAAGTACTTAACATTTTATTGGCCTACTTTCTTTTGTTCTAGGTTGTGTCTGAGACTGGAGCAGGGGGTATATGTAAGAAGTGTATTGGGCCGAAGCCACTGCGTACTCACCATTGCAGTGTGTGCAGAACTTGCATACTCAAAATGGACCATCACTGCCGTATCCTTTATTTCAATCGTCATGATTGCATAACACTGCGATGGACTCTTAGGTCCTTGAACAATGCATATCTCTCCTAAGTGTGAAATGGGTACATGTTAGAACGTGAATGACAGTGTAATTGGATTAGCAGTACTGTTCATAAAATGGCTGCCGGCTGCGATGCTCCCCAAAGGAGCGGAGAGTGTGCACTGACAATGGCAAAGTTGGGATTGAATCCAGTTTTGGGGGTTACAGGGGCTGAGAGCTTTGGTTAACCCCTTTTTACTGGTAAAGTGCTCATTAAAAGTAATTCATATTTAGAAGTAACAATTGTATGAAATGTTCTAGGAACAATAATTGTTGAATGGTCAATTTGTAACATTAATTTATTCAAAAGTCCAGATTTCGAGCCTAGACGCAACCAACACCTTACCTACACGATGACGATTGTGAATAGGTGAATGCCCCTCTGTGTTGTATTTACAATATATGTGTGGACAACCTACTCTCATGATATTAAGAAAGCTTTAGGGTTTCTTATATTTTCATACTTACAATCTCACAATTCATAGAGATTGTTTCTCTTTGTGTGTCCAACAAGAATGTTTCTTTGACTTTCCGATAACCACCAGCCTGGATCAACAACTGTGTGGGTCATTTCAACCATCGTTATTTTATGCTATTCTGCATCTACATGTCCATCGGTTGTATCTATGTCACTATCTCCGTCTGGCCCCAGTTCCGAGATGAGTTCTTTGATGCTAGGGTGAGTACCTTTATTCCTTGTCTAGGATGGAAGTCCATATCGAGGGGTTAGTGACACAAAGATATAACTCCATATTTTGCCATAATGAGTATTTGATATCAAAATGTTCAAAAAGGTGTGGACTTTCCAGGAAACACAAAGATTTAACTCCACTCAACACCACATTGAAGTCAATGGCTGGTGAAACATAGACTTAACTTTTTAAGGCCCAAGTGCTCAGTGACACATAAACCACTTTTTCTCGAAATGGCCAAAATGGAGTTACGTCTTTTTGTCACTGACGCCTGGATATGGTCCTAGAATACTTGTAGCCCACATAACAAATGTGAAAAGTTCCTTCACTCTATAGTTCCTACCTAAAGATGTTACCACCTTGTTCTTAGATGACTTTGCTGGGAGCGATTATCCTGTTAAGGCACTGCCGGGGACTGCCAGTGCCTTAAAAGACGTCACATTGCCTTTAAAGGATGTCACATGTAGCAGTCCACGTTCTTGTTGTGCAAATCTAAAAGTCCCTACTGCTAGGACAACTGCCCCGCGGATTACTACTCAAGAACAACTGCTTGCAAACAATTATCCTCTAGGCAAATTATGATTAAGACAGTTTGCTCCAAAGGCAGGTACCCCTAACCACTACCCTCTTAAAAGGTAATAGTCTATTAGAGCGATTATCAGGATGATTGTTATCCTTGCCTAATGTCTCAGCCTGGCCTCAATTTTAAAATGTGTTCTTTGATGATCAGGTAAATACCTTTACTTCTCAGACTTTTACTGTCTCAGATTTAGGTTTTTGAGGGGGAAAAACAGGATCTATTATTTTTAAATCAATCAACATATATGTATATAAACATATGAAAATTTGTGTTTTTTCTTTCTTTTGGTGCATTAGAAAACCTTTGAGAGCCTGTTTGGAGATTCTATATTTGCCAGGTCAATGGAGATCTACAATCAAGCCAAGGTAAGGGTCTGTATGTGCATGGTAGGCACTAATTCACATAGGATGATATCGGAATCTATTGAAGAAACTCTTTTTCTGAGAGGTTTTAAAAAAAATATACTCGTCCAATTTTGAAAAAAGGGTACTCAATTGTGTAAGAATTTAAAGTGTACTAATCACCAAAACATTATTTTTTTTTCTTGATGTAAGGGGTTCCATGTGGCTATACTGTATTCAAAATATGAGCTTCAAGTATTACTTCTACAATGTCAGTGAAGAGTAAAACGTCTTACTGAGTAGAATAAGGCTCACACAAAACCCAAGTCCAACTTGGGTTCCATGCAAGACCTACATGCAGGGTTTTATGTTATCCTTATTTTCTTCATACTCCTTATAAACCGTTTACGTATAGAATGTCAGGTAGATTTTTTTAAAGGTTGATACATAATAGCTATACACAAATTATTATGGTACACCGTCAGTTAGAGTTCATTGGTAGAAGTCGAGATATATCCATGTTTCTGACTTGTTTTCTAATATTATAGAGATTATGATTATTTGTTCATTACATACTTTTTAATCTAGATGTATTTGTATCTTCACTGCTTTCATAATTTATCAAACATTTGTTGCAGGCTGCAGATACAATCAGAAATATGAATGAGACGGAACTTGTGAAAAATGGAGCACCACTCATCCCGCCAAAGTACACTCTGTCGTTTTCAGAGAGCATGCATCATAAAGCAGTTGTTTATGAATTCTTTGTCTGCTCTGGGGTTACCATAGCATTAGGTATGAACATTATTATTTTTTTTATTCTACATCTTTCATCTATGCATTTTGAACAGTTCCTGAGCCTGGGCAAAAGATTTCTAAAATATGAAATATACTAATAGTTAATGTGGAAGCAAAGACTATTAACATAACGTCAACCAGGAATCACTGAACTTTAATGTAGGTTTTGCCTTCTGTAAGCTCAAACTTTAAGTTATTTCTATGAAGAAGTTTGAACAGTAAACTTGTGTTGTTGTTGACAGGCATTTTCTTGACATGGATATATGTTGACAGAATTTTTTATTTTTTTTGTCTGTTTTTTGGTTGTTGTTATATTAGTCCGGCAGCCAAATGCAGATTATTGGCCTAACCTTGTTTTAGGGTCTATAGTTTTTTTTTCAATGGATTTTGATTGCCTAGACCTTCTATTTCAAGAATCCGATTGCTGACACTCTGTCAGCCTTGAGCAATTTAAGATATATGACGTCATACAAAATGGCCGCCAAAGTACATGATTTTCCTTTAAAAATGAATAATAAATATATAATAAGGATTTTTTCTACAATTTTTGGCAGCCAAATGTCTGTATCTCTCTAGGACCATCACTAACAAAATGTTTTGTGATGTTGCATGGCCATAGATGACCAGCTTATTTGCATATTTTGAATTAGCGCCCTCTATAAACATATTAATTTGAATAAAATATATGTGCCAGCCAAATGCCAATTTCTTAAATCTATGTCACGTTGAAATCATATTAAATGCTTTTGGGGGGCAACAATTGCAGTTGTGCTGCATAATCTTTCATCGTGTTTGGTACAAATTTAGATAGGGTAGGTGTGGGGAATGGAAGACCCTTAAGCACATTTGCATAATTTACATAAACATGAACAATGTTACACATACAGACATTTTTGTATTCCCTTTAGTATTTTTTCTCTTTATTTTGTAACGAAATTGTGGTCATGATGTAACTGATTAATAAGATAACAATGATTAATGACGTCATCACCAAAGGTCTCTCATTACCTACATGTGTAGGTAATTAAGGGACAGTTACAAATCAAGACATTTTAAATACAATTTGAATGAAAATGGGATTGTTATAGTTAGTTCAAACATTTTTTTAAAGAGATATATGGAGCCAATGAACTTACTGAAATTTTGAAACGATTTTAAAACAATGTGGCCCAAAATATTTCTGTAGTTTTTGTGTACAGTAATAAAGGTGTTCTCAATTATGTTAAAATACTTTCAGAATAATGTTCTGGCAATATGACTTTTACATTGATCAAACTCACAGCATAGAAACAACTTCTTAAAATTGAATGCATTCAAATTAGAATGGTGACACGTACGACCAAATATGTTTCATGATAGTGCCTTTCAACATGAAATGGACAACTGGGGAGAAGTAGGCCCCCATCTTGGACCTGGTGTCCCCAATTACCTACACACATTTCTGATCAGACACCATTCATAATGTGAATTGCAACACCCATTCACAACAAACAATGGCCATAAGCTTTCTGTGATGGTTGGCACATTTCATAAACTTCGTTTTAAAACTAATTTTTAAGAGCCACCCCTAAATATCTGCATACACCACAACATTCAGTGAAAATTGTGTTTTTATATCAGAGCAAATTTTTACGATCAAAATTGCTAATATCTTGGTCAATTTTGCCAATTTTCTCGGAGAGAGAACGCATTGTAGTCTTCGAAATGAATTGGATATATGCAGAAGTGTTGTTTAAGGCCACATATGTCGCTATATCAATATTGGAGCCAACACGGACAGACAGTGATGGGTTCAAGCTTGGTGGTCTCCAATTCCCCACACCTACCCTACATATGTCAAGAAAAAAAATGGCTATGAAAGAATTCATTTTTCATCAAATCGGTGAGAAGTGGTTTTACGGCACACATTATTATTCAATTGATAGGCTTTATTTAGACCAGCATTGCTCCAACGTCAGTGAATGTGGATAAAGCAGTTGACATCTATACTAGACAGATGCATGAATTTCAAAAGATATTACCTGGTGGATTCTATGACACAATTTCCAAGAAAGTTCAAACCATGGCTGCCATGAAGAAGTCAATGTTGAGATACGAAAATCTATGAAAAGTTGATCTACTCCAGAGTAATAGGACTGCAGACAAGTTCAAGAGAGGTCAATATCAAGGACATTTTGTCATAAGAGCTTTCACCAGTCCCAACAGCACTTTTTGATGATTCTGGAAACGAGCACTCCCATGTCAAAGACGGACTTATAGAATTTGACAAACGTTGAGATGTCAGCCAGGCATGAGACACTGGAACAACCTTGTACAGTCATTGATGGTTGTGCTCTGCTGTGGATGAAAATCTGATGATTTTTGCTTGGTGTTTGACAGATCCGAGAGTATCTAGAGGTCATAACGGGTCGAGAGTCTTCCAACTGAGTCCCGCGTCACTGCTGCCCTCCAAGAAACTATCTCTTACTATTCGTCGTCGTCGTCGTTGTCATATAGATCATGGCTCACCATTGTGACCCGTTTGATGAGACCTTTTGATCGGCATCTGTCTCCTGCAATCCGGTAGAGTGTCTTTAGTATTTAGAGGGTGGCTAGTGATTTCCCGAAGGTCGTCAGTCCATCTGAGCTTGAGTCTTCCTTTGTTACGTGTTCCTTCAAAGGTACCTTGAATGATAATTTGTCAAGGTTGTCTCCTGATCTTCTGCTAACGTGACCAAACTATTGTAGCTTGTACCGTCAATCCTGGTAGCAAGTGGCGGTTGATCTCCGATGATGGACATTAATTGTGTCCATTGGTGTTGTAATCTCTTCATGATATCCCAAGTAGCTTCCTCCAACACCACATTTCAAAGGCAGATATTGCCGAGCTTCCACCCTCCTTGACAATCATTGACCCAAGAACATTATATAAACTTGTCCACTTGATCAACTTCTTCTCCATCAACCACCATGCTCTGTTGCATGTAGTTAATTTCCACCAATCATGATCTAGGTCTTTTTCCCATTGAGGTAGGGTCCAAATTATTCACTTGCATCCTTCACTCTTTTTTAAAGAGTTCTAGTAGTTCTTCTGATGTTCTTGTTATAAGTGTTGTCAGTGGCATACTGAGCAAAAACACTTAGAGGGGCAGAAAAACAATCTGCATCACCACCACTCATACATGTTACATGCAGGCCCCGCAGAACTTTTTTAAAATCGGGGTGGGGGGGGGGGGAGTGAAGTATTTACGATCAGGAAGAGAGGAGCGCAAATTGGCGTGGTGTTTAAGGGGCACAGCCCCTGGAAGCTCAAGGGTTTCAGGCATTTATTAACTGTAAGATGAACATATTTTAATACCTCATTTCACCTCGGGTCACTTTCTTTCTTTCTTTCTAGTTCTCTTCAACATACTTTATACAAAAAGTGAGGGGACTCGAGTCCCCTGAGCCCCGCTGTTCTGCGGACCCTGACATGTAGGCTTTTAAATAAGCATATTTTTTGCTTGACTGTGAATTTAGGATTTGTCATTTTCCAACATACGCTTAACAAATAATAATTTACTAAAAAGTGAGAAAAAACCGAGGAAAATCATGTCATTTCAGCAACATTTGTAAATCACTGGTATCGAATATATAGAAAAAACAGTTTGAATTTTGTTTGGGGGTTTAACTGTCCCCAACCCCCCCCCCCCCCCAACCCTTCCCCATCAATACGCCAGAGAGTGTTGTATTGTCGGCGTATCTTAGGTTGGTGATCGTTCGTCCACCAACAGAAACTTGACCATAAAATGCCTTTCTCATAATGAATACAGCATAGATGGTGATAGGATGCAGCCTTGACGGACAACTTGACCAATAGTGAACCTTTCGGTGTAGCCATTCTCTGTTCTTACTGTTGCTTCTAGGTATTGGTAGAGCGACTGGATGAGTTGAATTATGTATGCTGGAAAGCCCATCCAGCTCATAATCTTCCATAGGCGTTTATGTTGTACGCAGTCAAAAGCTTTGGAAAGATCAATAAAGCTAGGGAGAGAAGTTGTTGAAACGTGTCTCTAATGTTGCTAACTTCACTATCTTTTCATGACAACAAACTACAGTTGATCGACATCGTAATTATATGCGCGAGTCTGCAGGATGATTGGGTGCTCAGAAATAGGCAAAAGCACAAGCAGGCCTTTACCGTCAAGATGAGGTTCCTGTTGCAGTGATTCCAGGCAGTGATGTCATGGCAAGGAAAGGTCTGTCCACAACATAGTTACGATGAAGCAGGCAACATCGAAGTACAGCAAGCGATTTGAATTGATGCTAATGAGAAGATGTATGTTAGGGTCCTAGTGGATGACACAGACGTCTACGTACTACTTTTGCATCGATCATTATCTACATGACGGACTTATAAAACGCCAATGACCATGGAGACGCCCCTTCACAAATTGAACTGTTATTGATGTTCCTGCTAATGTAGACAATTAAGTTAGGAGATATCATTCCATCGATGTTGGCAGGACATGCGTTGACGGGATGCGACACTCTTGGGGCATACTTTGGCATTGGATAGGGTACAATGCTGAAAGTGATGAAGCAGAAGATTCGACTCCCTAGGACTTAGTTGGCAATGTTGATGCAGCATGGTCATATGTCATCACTCAACCTACTCAATGCTTTGCTTCATGTTATGGACAGTCAACAACCAACTGAATGTCAGAGGCTCGTATCGATCAACGTGTGGCTATCAAGGGTCCGAAGACTAGGAGCTCCAAATACCCCCAAACCTTGCCTCATTACCTCAAACTACCTCAAGCGTTTGTAGAAAATGTTATTAAAAGAGAGCTCATTTGCAAACATGCGTGTGGAAGCACGCATTACAGTCACGACCTCACTTTGCAGAATTAAGTGTTAAATGACACCCTCTTCCGCATGGAATATTTTAGGGCTCCCAACACTTTAGAGGGCTTTTAAACAAATTTCAAGATTTTGAAGCAAACTTATAAACGGATATAGTCCTGTATCGTATCGGTAGTTCGTAATTTGTAGGTTAATTTAAAAGAATCTAGTACCTTAGAATACAAATCTAGTTTCTTAACGCTGTCACTGAAAATGGGCATTTATCACCATATGCCACCTCATATCTATGGGACAGAGAGCATAAAATTCAACCATGTTTTCTTCGAGTATAAAATTACAAAATAAAAATAAATGTGCAGCACAATTTTTACTCACTGTATCCAGTGCATCTGACTCATGACATATGATAATCTCATGTTAGAAATTGGTATTTGGCCATCATTTTGAACTTTTCAAGTTAATGTGTCTATAGAGGGCGCCATTCCGAATTATGCAAATTTGCATATCATTTGTGATCATACAGCATCGCAATTTTTATTTAGTGATGATTCTAGAAAAAAATTAAGATATTTGACTGCCATTTAATGTAGTAAAATGCTGTTAAAACTTTTTATATCATTAATTTTGGTTAAAAAGGGGATTTTGGCGGCCATTTTGTATGACGTCACATATCTCAAATTGCTCAATGCTGACAGAGTGTCAGCAATCGAATTCTTCAAATTGATGGTCTAAGGAACTATAATCCGAAGAAAAAAACACTATAGACCCTAAAACAAGGTATATCGAGATGGCTGCCGGACTATATATATATATATATTTTCTCCTGTTGCTATTGGTTGCATGTAGGTGCCCTCTGTTTTTAGGAGTTACCGAATTCTAAGCAATATCTGATTTTTTTTCTTCAGGTGGACTGTCTATATGGCATGCTAGACTGGTCAGTAGAGGGGAGACTAGTATAGAGAAACACATCAATGATGAAGAGAGAAAGAGACTCAGTAAACTCAAGATAGTAAGTATTAGAGTTTTAATATGATTTTCCCAAGTGCATGGTTTGATTTATTTTCACTGAAAGTTTAAGAAGTCGGCAAATTTTACCTTCGTAATTTTCTTTATTTGTCTGTGATACGATATGGGCCTACAAATTGTATTTCTTAAAAAGTCAATACTTCTCTATATTTTATTGATTCCATTTATATATTAAAAAGATACATTAGCTACGGTACTTCTAGATCAAGTATCAAACTGTTAAATATTGTAACTACATGTGGAAAAGTCAAATAAGCTTTCCTTGTTTTAAATATACTAGTTACAAGAACAACATACAAATATTTTCTGCAAGGCTATTTATAAGATGCAAAACAAATTATTGCAGTATTTGAGTATTAAATTTAGCCATATTTCCTTGTAATAATATGTAAGTTTTAAAATAATATGTTTTAAAAGGTTTTTTGTGGTCATTTGATATGTATCTATGATCGGTATTAGTCACAAATCATGTTTAGTTGTAAAATCTAAATTTATATCATCTTTTATTTCTGTTTCTTTGTTCCAGGTCTACAAGAATCCATATGACTTTGGAGTAAGGAAAAACTGGGAAATCTTGTTAGGAATCAATGTTAGACATAGGTAAGTCCTCCTTTTAGAAACAGGTTTATTCTCAGAATACTAGAACTTGGTTCACAATTATCAAAACAGTAAAGTAAAACTGTGTTGATAAAGTATTTGTTGTATTGAATGTAAAAAACCCACATGAAAGGAAATTACATCTGGTTGGACTACCTTATAGTGTAAAAAGATGAATTTGTAAAAGCTTGAATTTATAAAAAATCAGCTTAAAACTATTTTACCTGGCATCCTATGGCTAACTGATAAGGAGTATAAGGAAGATAAAGAACAACATGACTCCTGCACACAGAATTTTGGTTCTGTGCCGACTCTATTCTATGCGAGTGCATACAGATGCATCAACAAGTCTACTCATAAGTCATTCTTATTTAGTTCATTGAGAGTGTTCCGTGCAGTATCTCTGTACAGACTAATATTTGAAGCTCAGACTTTGAATATAGTATAGCGTTGCGGAACCCTAACATAGAAAATATATAACCTGGTGATTGGTACACTTTAAGATGAGATTGCTCTCATTGTGTTATTGGCTCCTTCAGTGTATTATCTTACCATGATTTTATTTCTTCTCCTTCTTCTTCTCTCTTCTTCTTCTCTCTTCTTATTCTCTCTTCTCTTCTTCTTCTCTCTTTCTCCTTCTCCCTTTTCTCCTTTCTTCTTCTTTCTTCTTCTTCTTCTTCTTCTTCTTCATCTTCTTCTTCTCCTTCTCCTTCTCCTTCTCTTCTCTTCTCTTTCTCCTTCTCCCTCTCCTTCTCTTTCCCTTCTTCTCCTCCTCCTCCTTCTCTTCCTCCTCCTCCTTCTCTCTTTCTCCTTCTCCTCCTTCTCCTTCTCCTTATCCTTCATTTTGCATTCACGCAGGTCTTTCATCAGGCATGTACTCTTTCCTTCATCTCACTTACCAGAGAGAGATGGTGTACACTGGATCAACCAGCTGACCCCAGGTTACGTTGCAAAGAGTGTGCCTTGACCTTTGACCTTTGACCCGTGCTCTCAATCATGTACTAGAAAAATCATGTCCTTATTTATGTTGAGACCCTTTTTTTTATATGTAGGAATATAAATATAAGTATAAATATGTTTTTTCAGAAAGAATGATAATGATAATCATGTTCTTGTATAGTACCCTGCAATTAGCACCCTGTCACATTATGATACATGTATAAAGGCTCGATGCGATTCCAAAGTAATTAAGAATGTATTACCCAGATCCTATCTCTGTCAAACCATTAACAGAGCACAGTGCATCCCAAGGTATAATTCCTACCATGTAGCCATTAACTACACCTGGGTCAAGAGTGGCAGTTATAGATTAATGTCTTGCCAACAGACATGAGTGTGTGGCGACAAAATGGAGTGAGTTGAGCTCATCGATTTGTGTTGGGTGGTTTGCTGAAGCTTGTGCAATCTTTCAGCACAAACTCACTTTATGAAAGATCATGAAATTGAAAAATATAAAGTGATAGCGATGTAGGCAGGCCTAAATCTACTTTAATCTATAGGTATGATGATAACAAGTCTTTCAGGTAAGATCATCTATGGGCTTTCCACAACATGTTGTGTGGACAAGACTAGCTTTTAGAGTTTACCAATAGGACAAGGAAAGTTCTTTTGCAGTAAATAAGGTAGGCGTGGGATCAGAGAAAGACACTCTGTTCCTCGGACAGAACGTTAACTGGAGGCCCTGTGTGTAGGGGAGTCGCACCCAATGCTCGTTAATACGCTTCACTTCTTGCAAAGAGTAGAGTGTAAACTTCATGTTAAGTGTACATGCATACACAACTGGTAGTCTAACGTACATACAGATCTTTGGGGTAGGCTGCACAGCCCTATGAAGATTAGAAGCAGAAGAAAAAGAAATTCCCCTCTATCTTAAAGAGAACATCTTGTGATATGGGGTTGACAGAGAACTATGTACTATGCATAAAATCTATGATAAAATATTAGTTGTTGTTTTATTGGCGTGTATCATTAATTTATGAACTTTTTACGCTGAATTCAAATGGCATTAAACAAAACTAAATGGAAGCAAAAGAAAGAAGGACAAAAATGTCTTATAAGGGGTGAAGTCTTGTGTAGTGCCCAAGAATTTTTTAAATGTTATTATTGTGTCTGCATGTCTGGCGATTTTTGTCTCCCTCTATCTATGCCCACTTGCCCATCTTTTAGTAAAAAAGGAAATTGAAAGTAGCCCTCCCCCCCTCCCCCACCCCTCACCATGCCCTTATGGATGAATAAATGCTGCATGTGACTTATGATGAGATAAATGAAAGGAGAAATGCATGAGCTGCATCATATGTTTGGTTAATTGCATTTTTAAAAACCAAAGACAAGTTGCATGATCACACCAAATCACTACAAAGCTATTAGAATTGGTCTATTTGTGTATAGTGAATCCTCAGTACTGTCTTTCATGTGTTTTATTTTCTTTTGACTGACCAGAGATAACCAACTGGTCATATCATTATCTACATGATTGACGGCATAGAAAATCCCACAAAGATTATGCATTGTTGAAAATACTGTAATTTGAATTATGTAAGGATGCTACAATGTTATTTCAATTGACTGTATATGATTGTTTGATTGTTCAAAAGCATATATTTATCAAATTCATTTTACCAAAAAGACATGCCACATATGATAGAATGTATCACCTAGCACATCTATAGCTACACGTATCTGCCTTCAACAGATCTTGTTGTGATAAACATTATACGTATTTCAAATATTATGTGAAAAGTATGAAAATACTAGGGTAAAGAATCCATAGCATAAAATTAATAATGGTAAAGCAAAAACCAGCAGAATTCAGCAAATTAATGGCTCTGCATAATGTTGTATATCAGATGTCAGCTTTTTTGGATTTTGTATATCAATAAACTTAAAGCTAGCTTGGTAGAAATATAAAATTTCTCAGCTGTTGATCATGAATGTCACTTTAATATGCAGAGATCATAGTGGTTAGCAATAGATCATGTTTGAAATATAATCGTTAATTATATTAATTAATTCAAAATCTTAATCAGGTTATCATATTTTAATAATAAATGATATTGTGTGATCCATAAACTCTTCCTTTCATTTCTGTGGCAATAATTTTGAAGGTGGTCATATTTGATTTCTTTTGTCTTTATTGAAATTCATCTCTGATAGCATTACTATTCCACCTTGAATTTAATTTGCTAACTATATGAAACAGACATTGCTAGTGAGTTTATCATGCAAATATTCATATTTGTATTTTGTTCTTATTTACAAATCATAGTATGTCTATTACAGAACAGACCCCAAGTGTTAGTGTATTGTTTGTCTGTTGGTTTTTTTTTTTTTTTTTTAAATTTTAATATTGATGAATACATTCTTTACAAAGTATTGTAAAAAGAAAGCCCAGAAAAACACATTATTTTTCTCTTGTGTGCTGCTTTTGTATCAATCTTATGCCTATGCACTCTAAAGTACATGTTTAAAAAGGGTTGTATGGTATACTTTGATGAACAAGTTCTACTCATTGGTAAATCACAGACGTGTTTAACTATGGTTTTATAATATGGTGATGGTCTTTCTATATTAAACAGAACAATAACATATCCATATGCCATTACACGCTCGCCTATCAAAAAGAAATAGAATTCAATAAATCATGATTATAATTTGTCTCAAAATCGTAGCACATTATGATGAGAGTGCATGAGCATACCTGTATTTGGAATAGACAAAATGCATATTTCATTTCTCTTCATCACTTGTTTTTTTCTTCAGTTACCTTATATTAGTCACATGACCAGTGCACATTCCAATCGGATACCACTTTCATTTTTATACTATTTATCTATGATTTGATACTAAGTTGATGTATATAAATGATACCTATTAGCAATACATTATACAGTGAAATATGATGCTAATTTGTGTAGGTCTAAGCTCTGATCTGTCTGAAAGTGAAATGGAGAATTTCATGGATGAATATGAATTTTAAAAATGTGTCATGTATTCTGATAATGTAAACAAAGGAGGCATGTTGAATATTGATATGAAATGTAATGTATATTTGTGCGATTATCATAATGTATAAACGTATACATGTATTTACATTGTTTTTGATACTGTGTTATTCCTTTTGACAGTACTGATGTTATTTTTGTTTTTTTACACTACTATTTTAATTACTTCCTTTGATTTTTGCAGTGCATTATCATTTTTTGTTTTGATAATATCTTGTATTATTTTCATGAAACTGTTTCAAAATGGCCTGGAAAGTTATAAATGTTGTGATATTATGTGGTATGGGATAATATAAATAGGACATGAAGGCATGTGACAATGAATCATATCTCTTGATTATTAACGTGACACAAATAAACACCATAAAACAAGGAATTATTTGTACAGATAACTTTGTTCTTTTTATAGTTTTGAATTTTGAAACGCATAAAAATATTAAGAACGTACGATGTAACCAAACATGTTATACAATGAAAACTAGTACATGTATTTACAAGCATCATAATGAGCAGGTCCAAATCTTCTTTAAAAATTTAAAACCAACATGAAATATAAATATTTGAGTAAAATCTATCGTACTATATTGGTCGAGGTTTCACCATTATCATGTCCAACTCCCATATTTACACTTCTGGGGGGTGTTTCACAAAGATTCAAAGTCAAACTTAACTCTAAGTTGATCTTAAATATTATGGAGAGCCATTTGTAGCCTTACTTTGAAATATATTCAAAAGGCAAAATTCAAGTATTTTTGGCTTTTCATAAATTCCACATCAAGAACATGAAATATCTCATGATAATAGAAAATATGAATGATTTGAATCAACTTTTTTTGCCTTTTAAAATTACTTTTACAAAATATTTTCAAGGATGCTAATGGCTCTCCATAATTGTTAAGTCCAACTTAGAGATAAGTTCAACTTAGGATCTTTGTGAAACACCCCCCTGGTTTATATACATGTACAGATGTGTGTGTAATGTATGTATGCAGGAGAGACAGTGGAAGTTGGAAGTGGGAAAACGATAGTGAAAGGGCAATCAAACCTTTGTGAAAGCTGTGTGAAAGCAGAAAAGTAAGATTCCGATTAGTGAAAGTTTGAAATAAAATCAGACGAGCAATCAGACGAGCGATAAGAAAGTCATAAACATTTGAAATTGGTCACTAAATACACGTATATACGAATTTCAAATTGGTCACTAGATTGTGATGTATTCAAGAAAAGGTCATCCCTTGTTTTATACTATAATACTAATGTCTGTTTTTTTTTCTCATAACGGCCTTTGACCCTGGGGCACTACTAAAATATTGTGTACATATATATTTTAAAAATAGATCCTCCAGTGTTATATATTTTTGAGAGGAAAAAAAAAGTTATTTTGTATGATGGAGAAAGGGGGATTGTTGCCTGACCTTGCATCATAGCGACATTTTACTTTTTCAGCCAATGTTGGATTCCCTTATGTGAAGTAATAAACATTCAAAAATTAATAACTTTCTTATTGTTGGTCCTAATTGTTCTTACTGTCTAAACTTTCACAATCTGCTACCCTGATTTTTCTGCTTTTGTTTAGAGCAATTTGCTCTAAAGGCTGGATTTCCCTAAGTTTAATGAGTAGATGGAAGGATCAGAACGAGCTGGAATGGTGGGAAAAGCAGGACTAACAAAATGGGTGAACCTCGCAAGCAACCTATACTGGTATAGAAATACAATGTATGATCAAGGAGTACAGTTGATGTACATGTATTCTAAAAAAATATATAAAAAAAGCTCTCAATACTAGTACCTACTCGAGATCAGCATGTGTATTGCATTACCATGAATCAAACTATACCCATCAACATTTCCACCAACTAAATCCATCCTAGGCTAAATTAGGAATATACTGTATTTGTATGGTAATACTTTGAAGGCCTTATAATAGGAATGGTTGGTAGATGAGCTTATTCTAGTATTCAGTTTACTCCGTAAAATAAGAGACAATACATTTACAAAAGTTTATGTATCTACAAACAGTTGTGGCTTCCTCAAAAGATATTTGATGCATGTATCTACCAAATGCGACATTTGCTTACGGTACGGCAGAAAAAGCTTCTTTTTTTTTTTCTTCTTTTTTTTGCCTTGAAAAACAATAACACTGATCGATGCCATAATAATGATGAAATAATACTGCACGCGCTTTGGTCAGTTAATGGTAATACCCTTTGTAAGGAACCAGTATTATTATTAGTATTATTTTGATGACATTATTGAAACTAAGAGGGTATAAAACTACAATAGAGCTGCTGTAAAGAAGTTTACTTCAAGTCTTGCTTTTAGATCAAGTGTGGTCAATAGCCATGCATCCCCAGCCAGACCAATGCCTTCTTCTTTCTTGTAATGACATCCAAATAACATTAATATTAAACATACCAGCACGATATAAGCGTATAACTCACCTGTAAAACATTTAACCGCATAACGCAAATACAAAATAAAGGTTTCAGTGCAAGTACAATTGACTCTGAAATGTATACCACTTTTCCCAATTATTAACCAGTTGTACATCATCATATAAAAATATGCTTTAAATGAGCCCTCCCCCAAAACAAATAATTCAAAAATAAAATATGTAAATAAATTAATTAATTAAAAACCACATGTATCCTATAGAACAGAGAGAAGGAAAAAGACCAAACATGTGAAGGCTTTTGGGCCAACGATATTGGACCCATGATATAAACAGTGTCGCAACTTTCTTCTGCTTTCACACAATATGTGTTCTTGCATATTATTACCCGTCAGGCGCGGATCCAGGATTTCTTAGGGGAGGGGGCCCAACTTTTTTTTTTTTTGCTCCTGAAAATTTGAAAATCGCGCCGGCCAAAAAGTCGCTCAGTGGGGGGGGGGGGGGGGGGGGGGGGGGGGGGGGGGTACAGAGCACAATTTTTTTTTTTTTTTTGCTCCCGAAAATTTGAAAAACGCGCCGGCCAAAAATTCGCTCAGTGGGGGGGGGGAGGGGGGGGGGGGGTTAGTGAGCACATTTTTTTTTTTTTTGATCCTCAAAAAAATTTCAATTTGCACCCCTCCTTTGAGCGCCAGGGGGGCCCAACCCCCAAAAAAGGTAAAAATCACGTGATTTTACATGATTTTTTTCTCAAGGGGGGGGGGGGGGGGGCCCCCCCCTGGATCCGCCACTGATACCCGTATCAGACATCTGAGCAGTGGTTTTACAAAATCATATTACACTCGTTTGTAATCCTAAAAGGGCTAATCGGGGAATATGAGACCATATTTACCTTTCATGAAAAAGCCTATGGACTTTAAGTGTTAAAAAAGCATGAAATGTAAGACCAAAATCGTATTTTGTCATTTTCATTGCGCATCTATTATGCGTACGAGAACCTGCGCACACTCTATTGTGACGTAATAATCACACCAAATTGGGTACACTGTTTGCAGTGTATCGAAAAATTTGTTAAGCAGCTGGATGCACAGTGCTGGTTTGACAAAGTTTGTTCAGTTCTATGAGATTGTCATGTATTATTTGCTCTAGATGTCTGATTTAGATAATAATAACAATATTGACTGGCTTAACTTTCGGGAGATACCACATATATTTCCCTCACAAGACCCATATTGCCCTCGTCTTTGACTTGGGGCAATATGAGTCTAGTTTGGGAAATATTATGTGGTATCTCCCTCAAGGCCAGTCCATATTATATAAGTATTCAATCAAAAGTATTTCGCACATCTTGGGTTTCAAAAGCAATATAAAAATATAAAGATTACAAACAAAATATCACAAAACCTCATTCACTTTACCTTGATCTATCAGGTATACATGTCTGATAACCACACATAATGAACTTCCACATGCAAGAAACCAACCATTTAACTTTTTTCCTTCATTAAGTTTATAGCATTGGTAATTGATAATTAATCATTTCATGAACGTTCTGAGCATCAAGTCCAGGCATAGTACATTTTGACCTGGATGCATTGCCTCAATATTGTTACACTTATCCATCTACAGAATGCTAGTTTAGTACATGTATGTTTCTAGCTTTTAAAAAATAATGATTTAAAAGTGAGATGTTTTCTCATTGTGAACAGATAAAAATGTTTTTTCATACCATTTCTACCACAGACCAAATATACATGTAGATCTCTATTTGAGATAGGGTATTATACCACGCTTCATATTTCATACCGATATCCTCCCAAAAATAAAAAATAGATATGTCTGTCAAGGCGAAAGTATAAAATTTAGAAAGTATAGAAGTTAGAAAATCTATACATTGGTGATTCTCTGCAAATGTGTCCAGCCCCATACATCTTTTCTGCACATCTTTCCTTTAAAAAAAAAAGAACTTTATCTTGATAAGACCATTGGATAATGGTATTACTGCCATCAGTCATAGTCATACAAAGACATTTTATTCAATTATAGATGAAATATTTTGTATATGGAATTATCGATGTCATATGTTGTGCACAGGGATACATTTCACAGAATCCGCCAATGTATCATCATCATCACGACGTACAGGTGATTTCATCATTTTGTCTCTATCCTTGGACTGAACATTAATAGGGTAAAGAAAATAATCCTTTTTAATTTGTTCACTGGTTTCTTTACTCCCAAGCAAAATCGATTACTCTCGAGAGGTCCACTAGATGCACCACATGTTTGTTTGGTAATAAAATTATATATAGTCTTCAAAGTAATGTCCTCTCAATGCTGTCATGTGTTGCATTTCAACCAGATTAGTATCCATGCTTGGAAAATGGAAAACTTTAAAGTAATAGCTTGAACTCATCATTCTTTAACCCACAAACTCTTTCAGAATGATCAAGTTGACATGCTTCATTTGTATTGTTTCTGTTTGTCCATCTTGTTTTATGAAGCACCCACACGTACTTGCATAAATATTACATGTAATTTATACAAAATAGTAGATCTTCCACAAATAAGAATCCACATAGATCTCAAGACTGGAATGAGACTGACTGTTCAAGCCACTTATAAGATGAGTTCCTCATCCTTGAGGAAACACTGATCCAGATTGAACTCGTCAAAAATGTTTGGCTTGTGCAGTTGCTCCTGAGGAGAAGAGATAGACGGCTGAGGGCGCGAGCAGGTGGTGCTTCCGACAACCTGGAACATATTGTTGTTTGGCATGTTGGACGACACGCAGAGAGGGTTTGTGGTGGTGTGATTATTCGGGAAGTACGACTGCTGGGTCACTGCGACCCTCTGCAGTGCCGTTACAAGGTCATTGGTGTTGAGAGGGGGAGAGGAGGGGTAGTTGTTGGGTTCAACGGGAGTGGCAGTCGGGGTAGGAATCTTCACCATGGAGGAAGACATCTCTGGGAAGCCTGTCAAGGTGTTGTCTTCGTCACCCTCAAACTCTCGATAACTCTCACTATTTGCTGTGCTGGCTCTGGTCTCCATAGCTTCTAGCTCTGTGGTGGGTGTGCAACGTCGGCTGCTCTCGTTGCTGGCGAGATAGCAGTCACTGATTCCGGAGCTGATGGATGTATTCATCAACTCATTCTCCATCTTTACTTCACATTCTGAGGATGCTTGGGAAGAGCTGTCATCGTAAATCATAGCTTGCCTGAAAGAGAGAGCACAAGAATATATTAAATCCAGCCCTAGAATTATGAAGTCAAAATTTGGGGTTTATTTCATATGAAAAATGGCTTGAAAAGTAAGTGATCGATAGGTAATAAATATATGAAGGGTGAATTTATGATTTAAAATTTTCTTATGGGAAAATATAAATTTTAGAAGGTTTTTAGTTCGGGGCAAAAGGAAGGGGACCTTGCAAAATGCGTCACAAATAAAGTTGCCAATTTGTCTTGGATTGATCTCACCTTCAAAAATTTATAACTTTCTAAATTTAAACTGGTTTTTGCTCAAACTTCACTGACCTACCTGTTCCTCTCACTTTTTCTGCTTCTATTAAAACCAACTTAACATCAGGGTTGACTTCCCCTTTAATCATAAAGGCGTAAACAATTCTGAAATGGACTCAAGGGAAAAACAACAAAAAGTTGCTTACTTTGCCTTTGCAGTCTTGATGTTCATGAGTTCAGGGGGGTCATGCTCGTGAAGCTTGATCCTCCACAGTCGGATCTGTTTGTCCCATGAACGACGGCTAGTCACCTGAAACTTGTTGGGTGTGTAAGGGTGCTTGCCCTTCAGTCTGTTCCTTCTGCCAATGCAAGAACACAGTCAATATTATTAAATATGCATACTAGATATTTTACTACAAGAGGTTGACTGGCAGTAACCACCATAATTCAACTTTGAGGTATATTTCTTTGTTCTTTGCAAGATGAAAAAATAGGCCGACTGTAAAACCTTTTAAAAATACTAGGTATTTTTTTACTACAAGAGGTCAACTGGCAGTAACCACCATAATTCAACTTTGAGGTATATTTCTTTGTTCTTTGCAAGATTAAAAAACAGGTTGACTTTAAAACCTTTTAATATTTAATACGGTATGCTTACTAGGTTTTTGACTACAAGAGGTCGACTGGCAGTAACCACCATAATTCAACTTTGAGGTATATTTCTTTGTTCTTTGCAAGATTAAAAAACAACCTGACTTTAAAACCTTTTAATATGTGATGTCACTTGAACAATACTCCAGCATTTGTCAAAGAACTTCAATTTACAACTAAAACATATTTCTGAAAACATTATATCCCTTTAAATTAGAACTAGAAATTAAACAACCTAAAACCCAAGCTTTTTTCATGATTTTTGTTGAGATAATTCTGATTAAACATGTCAGCTTAACTCTTAAATGCACTGGTTTTATTTTAATCTTTATCCCAACATATGAACTTATTTTGATAAATTTACATCAGAAATAATGAGAATATATCAACAATTGATCTGTACCTCTTGACTTTATGGAGGTAGTTATCATAAGCTGCTGTGTTCTTGCCAAAGTCGATCTGCTTCTGTCTACGAATGAGAACATCTCGATCCTCCTCCATCGGAGTCTCTTTCTTTGAAGTTCTGAAATGGACAACAAAAAAACAGTATTTGAGAATTTAGTCAAAGTGCAATTCATACCAAACCAATTCACTTGGTATGGAGACAAAAATAGCATGTTCAGAGAAATGACGGGAGTGTATCAAATTACCTTTTAATTCACAGAACTCCTTTGATATTTAATTGAATTTTTTATATATTTGTTTTCTTCTTTTTTTTTACTTCACAGAAATGTGTACAAATTTTACTGTTATTTTACCAGAGCTCTCGAAAGGTTTCTAGTGTTCTCTCTGATGTTTCCATAGCTACTTGTAAATCGCTTCTAGCCCCATTGAATTTCTATCCACCAATTTTTTCTTTTATTATTAGAGTATACCATTCCACTATCATAAAATGGTGCAATTTCAAGGGTATCGCAGGCCAATCAGCACATTCTGGTTGGGCAAATTTAAGATCATCATAGAATGAATAAATAATTGTACACCAATTTGAGTTAATCAGCTACCTGATTTTGTGATATATTTAATCAATTTATCATATTTGTAGTTAGGCAGGGGGGGGGGGGGGATTGTATAATTCTTCAACCGCAACCTAACAAAAGAACACCCAACCGGGCTGCAGTCACCCCCGTCTACTTCACAAAAGTCCATCCAGGGTTCCAAATCTTACTTCTTGTTCTCCTGCTGTTCTTCGCTGCTGCAGGATCCAGATCCGGACCAGAGGTCCAGCTTCCTCCTGTACTGATGAAGATCCCTCTTGGCACGGGCCTCCTCCTCCTCGAACTCCTCCACCTGGACGGCCCAGTCTGTACTCGATTCAGACACCTTCCGGTATTTCTCTGGGTGTCGTGTAGGGGTGCAGTTGCTACTGTAACGAGAACAAATGAAGATGTTGGAAGAAAAAAGTTCTATGGTTAAGTACTGGATTCAGACACCTTCCGGTATTTTTCTGGGTTTCATGTAGGGGTGCAGTTGCTACTGTAAGGAGAATCAAATGAAGATGTTGGCGAAAAGATTCTATGGCTTAGTACATACTGTACTGTACATTGTTACAATTAGTAACATCAGGTTTGTGAAGTCAAATGCATTACTTAAGTTATATAAGCCTATAAAGAGACTTTGACAGACCCTGGTTTAAAACCCAGTCACTTCTTTTTGATGGTGACAAAAAAAAGGTAGTGCTGTAAGTCAGACGCTATGTTCGTGTTCGGTTCGGTTCGGCAGAGTTCAGCAATTTTTCACCCGAACTTGGTTCGGTTCGGGGTTCGGTAATATAATAGCAAGCAGCGTAATAGCCACGGCGGTTGGCACTGGGCGGGCCGGCCGGCCTGCCGGGCTCGAACAGCACGGAGGACTTCTGCACACTGCTTCCGACCAGTACGAATTTCACATTATGAAACTGCTCTAAACGTAATTATTTGTGAAGAAAAATACTACTTACATTCGTATTTCCGTCTCGAATCGTGTTTTATTTTCAATTTTAAAAGAATCATGTTTTTAATTTGTCAATAAATGATATTTTTTAAAGATTTTCCGAGATGGTTGTTGTCTAATGTTAGAGTCATGAACGCTGCCATCTTGAATAGAGACTCAAGCAGGCTCGTCAATAACTGTTTTTTATAAGTTTTTGTTTTAATAAATAAATACCATACTATAATATATATTTATTTCATTATTTATATTGTAAAATTTGTCCGATATTGTTACAATTAAAATATTATATTTTTATTGAATGGGTTTACTTTCAGCTGAACTTGTTTTGATCACGCACATGTATTCTTGTTTATGGCTTGCGATCGCGACGTAGCGTGGTCAGGATTTGGGATTTAAATGGCGCCAGTGAAGTCGGGCCCACCACTGGATAGGCATAAATCACAAAGGCGAAAAATGGGAAAAAAAGTAAGTATAAAATGAGCCATCATGACATGAAAATTAGGTACAAAATGACAAGTTTATTTGCTTGCAAAAACGTTTACATTTTTCTACCGAACATCCGAACCAGGCCTTTGTGTTCGGTTCGGTTCGGTTCGGTTTGGAAGTGCCATGTTCGGCGAACTTCCGTTCGGTTCGGCGGTTCGGCTACAGCACTAATAAAAGGTCAGTCCCGAAATGAAAATCATAATTTCTGATTTATTAGAAAAACTTTGGAGACTTTTCTTTTCTTGAATTATATAGTGGTGTTGTATTTTTCAATATGTTCCAATGTTCCACCTTATTTTAAAGTAAGGTGCATAGAGAATCTGTCGGTGATTAAACACTATCATTATAAGCAGCAGCAATAGCAGCACAGTACTACTTCTGTATATACACACATTGCTGATAAACGCTCCATACCTTTGATCATCACTGCTGAGAGAGGGATACTCCTTATTATCCAGGGTGAAGGATCCTTTCTTGATGACGTCTTTGTCCCATCCTCTGACTCTGTCACTAGACCAACGGTGAGACCTCCTGCAAATCATCCAATTACATTTATATTTTTGTACGAAAGAATCAGAATTTATTCTTTTCCATGTGCAACACTGACAAAATAGTGCTACGTACCAGAGGTGGGCGGTAAATACCGCTTCTTTTCCAGGGTCCGGGAAATAAGCCTCCGAAGCGGGAAATGTGCCAACCGCGCTATGTACACTATCACAGAATAATGGTTATAAACTGACTATTTTGCCTAAATTTAACAACAACAAGATATATAAAATATGAATGCACATAATTGTTTTCATCACAAAAGTAAGAGACGGACAGTCAAACAGAACGACTAGTAGTAATAGTAGCAGACAGGTAAGGTAGTAGGGTGGACCTAATATGACTGGTTGAGAGCAGATCTAGACCTCCAAGTACTATGTAGATGACTACATCTAAAATCACAATCTAGATTCTAGATTTAATGTGAATAAAATGTGTTAAACCCCAAATTTGTACCTGTCATTCTGATCTGATTTTTGAGATTGAGAGTACTTCACGTCCTTGTCATCATGCCAGTTCTTCCTTTCTGATCTCCGGTGGTTACCATGGCGACTATCCCTCCTATCGTGTCGCTCATTTCTAGCATCCTCAGTCGACCTGGAATGATAGACAAAGTAGAAGAGATTTAAATAAAGTCTGAACCATGTGATTTTGAAGATACCATTGCTACTGCTAATAGACTTTTATAGCGAATAAAAAACTGAATGACATTTAGGGTCTAAGGCTTTTAAAAACTAAAGTAACAACCACTCAATATTTTGACAAGATGGCTCTTAAATTTGTTGTGAATGTAAGCAGTGAGAACGGCCTGCTTTCATCCTGCTGTTAGGGGTCTAACTTTGTTAACTTTGTTAGGCATAACAAGTAACGTTAACCTGTAAGTGCTTTAGTTCTTTTAGACTATGGCAGGGCCTACCACTCTAGGACTCGGAAGCAACAGTGACACATGCTACAGTACACTAGACCGTCCCTAGTTTCTACAGGCTCCTCATTTATGGTAGATTACTTCACACAGGCGTGCGCCCGCCCGCCATCACTATCAGTATACACTTGTATTGTGCAGCGGTTTGCCATGAAACATGCGAGAAAGTGTCAGGGTCTACTAATATCAACGTTTTTCTGAAAATTACTCCCCCCAAAATAAGAAAATTGACACGAAACAGGTAAGAAAGTAAAGAAACAAAACAATTTTTGGCGCTTGTTCAGAAGTCTAGCCAAAATTTGACCCGTATCTCCGGCGTGGAGATACCCTACTAAAACATAGATCTACCCAAAATGAAGTAAATATTCATCAAATGTCCAAATAAAGGTCATGATTTAATAAAAGTCACTAGATATGTTTGTTACTTGTTTTGTGTCAATTTTCTTATCTTTTTCAGAGTATTTTTCCTAAAAACAAAGACTGAGACCTATAATTCTATGCACTTTCTCACAGGATTCATGGCAAACTGCAGCACAATAGGCCTAGATCTAGATCTAGACTCTAGTACACATGGTACAATTGCATACCGTACTGGCGATGGGGTGCGGCACGTGCGTGTGTTCATGCACAACTGTACTACTAGATTGCAGTCGCTAACTGAACACACACGCGTGCGCCCGCACCCCACCGTCGGTACTGTGCTGCAGTTTGCTTTGCATCCCGTGAGAAAGTGCATTTTTAAGTCTAGAGCCTAGAGGATCTATGTTTTTAGGAAAAATACCCTGAAAAAGATAAGAATTTTGACACGAAACAGGTAAAAAACGTATTGACTTTTAAATCATGACCTTTATTTTTATTTGGACATTGATGAATATTTACTTCATTTCTGAACTAGAATCTAGCGCCATTTTTTGTTCAAATCATGAGACTGAGTGATGAGACATAGAATGAAGTTATGAACTTGTGAGTTTTTGGCTTTTTGTGCCATTTTTTGTGGAGCCAACATAATATTAGGCTAGACCTAGTCTATTTAAAGTTAAACAAAAGAAGAATCACCCAAAAAAGATCATGAATTGCCATGCCATGGCCTATGCTATGGCTATGCCCATAGCCCATAGCAAGTCTTTTAACTTCGTGCCATCTTAGCTAACTAACCTTCTTTTATTCGAAGATGAAGCATGATGGTGGGAACGGCGTGCCCTTTCTGATGACGCCCTGTCACCGGATCCCGCGCTGTACCTTCCTCCAGACGACCCAAGCGGACGGGTGGTGGTGGACCCTTCTAGCTCTTCGTAGCGGTCTCTGACTCTGTCTCTCTCACTGACGCGATTCTTACTCTTCAAATCTTGACGATCTGAAGTGGAGATATTGTCTATATTAATGCACTCTTTCGAGTTCAAGCGCGACATTATTGCTGACTAATATGGTAGTCACCTCTATAAACAGTTTTTTAAGACGGTTTCTGTTTTAAGGTTGAAATTCGACGTCTATTGCAATTACTTGTACGGTGCACTTCAAAGCTTCATTTCCCGCGATGACCACAAACAACAAAACGAACTCGATTGAAATTTCGCGCGAAATATTGTTTCCGCCCAGCTGAAATGCTAATGAATATTCATTACCCATGCCGCAAACTAAACTCTAGAGGGCTTTAAAACCACAAGGGAACAAATCAAAGAGGAGGCATATATACGGATAGAGAAATACATTATTTTTTAAAGGATACCTTGTCTAATCAGCGACGACACAGATAAAAGAAACAGACATACCCGAGACATACACACATTATAATGTAGGCGCTAATTCAGGGGAGGGGAGGGGGGCATGGGGATGCGCGGCTACCATACTTATTGGTGGTGGAAAGTGAGGAGGAAAAAGAAACTAAAATGGAAAGGGAAAGAAAGGAAATGAGGAAAGAAACAAGGTTAGGAAAAGAAGTTAACATGAAAAGAGAGAGAGAGAGAGAAATACAAGAAAAGAAAGAAAAAGCGAGGGGTAAGAATTTTTTTGAAAAGTGGAATAAAGACGGACGATTTAATAATTTGACAATTCTTTTTTTAAACTTCTTTAACGGCCCCTTCTTTGGCACAGGAGAATACAGATGCAAGAGGAGGATGTTCTTAAAACAATAAACAAAACGTGAAAGGATCAAACATACTCATTAGCAGAAAACATCAAACAAGTGAAAGCAAGAATAACAATGCCATATCAAATGATATAAAGAACTATCTGTACTATTTAGGCGAGGCTACACTTTAAATTTAGAATTAATGGACCATTATATTATTTTATTGTGCGCTGGAGAAAAGAGAACAGAATTATCCCAATTTAGACAATAAATACAGAAAGATTCTTTAGCTGTTCCTGATTAGCGTTGAATAAAATTTTAGATCTGCTGTAATTTCCTTAACATTAAGTGCTTATATACGGACATGAATTTTAAAAAATAGGACACACCAAAACAATAATCACTCTGCACCTGAATCAATGAACACAATTTCTCGAGGTTGCTCTGATGAATAGTATTATTACCACGGTACCGGCAGTTTTATGATGACCACATTCGAGACATCTGTCAAATCAGATTCGTGTTTAAAGATCTTGTATATAGTTGAAGCCAGGGGCGTAGACAACGGGGGGGGGGGGATGAGGGGGATGGCATGTACACTGTTGCTCATAACGGTGGAATATTTTTTTTTATCCCAATTTATGGAATTATTTTAAAAATAATTTAAAAATACTAGATCTAGATAATAGTATACAGTCTCAGATTTTATTGAATAATAATTTGCCAATATGTGTTTTGCGTGACTGCTAAAGCATGTATATTATGCTACTATGTTTATCAACTAGGGGACCTATGCCCTTAAGTCATAAATGACAGTAATGAGGATAAATGCCTCACAAAAGGGCTCTGATATAGCACATCGACACGGTGTTGATCCTGGGGCCTCACAGTTACGAGGCCATTGCTTTGTCACTGAACCATGACTGTACGCAGCGGGGGCTAGGGTAGGGGGCAGTTTCCATAAATTTAAAAAAAAACAGAAAATGCAATAAATATTCAATAATTTATTGCATTCTACCCCGGTCCCCAACATAAACAAATCCTCTGGACGGCCATGCATTATGGCTCAAGGCATGGGCACACAGAAGATTTTTTTTATGTTGGGGACCGGGGTAGAATGCAATAAATTATTGACAATTTATTGCATTTTCTGTTTTATTTTTAATTTATGGAAACTGCCCCCTACCATAGCCCCCGCTGCGTACAGTCATGGTTCAGTGACAAAGCAATGGCCTCGTAACTGTGAGGCCCCAGGATCAACACCGTGTCGATGTGCTATATTAGTGCCCTTTTGTGAGGCATTAATCCTCATTACTGTCATTTATGACTTAAGGGCATAGGTCCCCTAGTTAATAAACATAGTAGCATAATATACATGCTTTAGCAGTCACGCAAAACACATATTGGCAAATTATTATTCAATAAAATCTGAGACTGTATACTATTATCTAGATCTAGTGTTTTTAAATTATTTTTAAAATAATTCCATAAATTGGGATAAAAAAAAATATTCCACCGTTATGAGCAACAGTGTACAATCATCCCCCCCCCCAGGTTTTGGGGAATGATATTTGCTTACTTAATAAGTCATAATGATGATAATAATAGTAATAATAATAATGATAACAATTATAATATTAATAATAATAATAATTATGATGATGATAATAATAATCCTCATCATTATTGTAATTGTGTTTATTGTTATTAGCCGCATTCACACGGTGAAAGCCAATTCAGACGGTAAAAAAAAGAAAATCTTACAAGTATTTTGTGGTTATCTTGTGGTTTGGAAACCACAAGATAACCACAAGATTAAACAGGCGCGGATCTACGGGGGGGGGGGGGTTTAGGGGGTTTAAACCCCCCCCCCTTGGGCGGCCCAAAAAACAAACAAAACAAAAAAGGAAAAAAAAGGGGGGAAAAAAGAAAAAAAGAAAGAAAAAAGAACGCACGCTGGAGAGAAACCCTTTCAAGTGCAAATATTGTGAGAAGATATTCAACTCATCTGGTAACTTAACCAAACACATGATAACTCTGGATATAACTGTGTATTTAACTGTTACTTGATTTAAAAAGACGTTATCATGCACTGCTTTTTATGGTCTCCATTGTGTTAATAGATGCCAGGAAAACATCACTTACGGGGTTCAAATAAACACCCCAAAAAAAATCGGCTCGCCGCTTCGCGGCTCGTGGACGATGCTCCGCATCGTCATTATTTTGGTCAACCCCCCCCCTTAGCAAAAAGCTAGATCCGCCCCTGAGTCATCCCCCCCAGGTGTACGAACCTGTCTACGCCACTGGTTGAAGCATATGATTTGTATTGACTTCATCATTCCTATTTAAATATATAAGGTCCTAAGCCCCAGTCCCATATAAAGCCGGACCAGCACGGACGAGCACGGACCACTCCGGACCATCCCGGACCATGGTCTGGGGTGATCCGGGATGGTCCGGGATGTTTTGTTCAAAAAAAGTGTGATGCTTTTAAGCTACAGTCCCATATATGTCCCGGACCGTCCCGGACCATCCCGGACCCCATCCGGGGTGATCCGGGATTCGGTCCGTGTTGACACCGTGTTGGCACCGGGGTGGTCCTGGATGGTCCTGGGTGGTCCTGGATGGTCCTGGATGGTCCTGGGCGGTCAATAACTCACTCCCGGACTGCCACGGATCAACACGGACCGCCCCGGCGCCACTACGGATGACCCCGGACCCAGCACGGTGGCTACACGGATCACCCCGGATCAAACTATTGTCCCGGACCGTCCCGGACCACCCCGGCAGTTTTTGACCGTCAAAAACATCCGGGGTCGACTCCCGGACCGCCCAGGACCATCCAGGACCATCCAGGACCATCCAGGACCACCCCGGTGCCAACACGGTGTCAACACGGACCGAATCCCGGATCACCCCGGATGGGGTCCGGGATGGTCCGGGACGGTCCGGGACGTATATGGGACTGTAGCTTAAGACTTATAATACCCAACCTAGATTTAAACGAACGGCGTTCCGGCCGATAGGAGGAAAATATGGGACGTTTGTTTGTTTTGTTTTGTTTTATAAATATTTCACGGTGAGACTGGAAGAAAAAAAAACCCTGCTTTCAGCCGCAAGGCTGTTTTTTAGCAAGTTCGTATACAAAAGAAGATAAAATAAATATTGAAAACACGAAAATTATTTACAAAGTGTAAATACAGATTTAAAAATAAACTTCAAGTAACATACACTCTAAAAACTGAAATGTTAAATCACCTTTTGAAAGGGCCCGAGTGACCACTCTTTCAAAATGGTAGAATAACACTTTGAACATGCTGGATCCAACACTATAAAGGTTGAATCTAGCAGGTGAAAAGATACAACCTGATATTCTGAAAGAGTGGTCACTCCTCTGCCCTTTTAAACTGAGATTTAACATTTTAGTTTTTAGAGTGTACACACACACAAATAGATAGAAGAGGAGATAGAAGAAGGACCCCTACCCCTGGATATCCACCCCCGGATAACCACCCCCAGTCAACTACCCCTTAGGCCCCTTAGGACAATTTCCCCCTAGGGCAACCAACCCCTGGGACAGCTACCCCCAAGGACAAGTAACCCCCCCCCCTCGGACAACTACCCCCCAGAGAACTACCCCTAGGACAACTTCCCCCTTGGCAACTACCCCCGGACAACTGCCCCCGGCAAACTACTCACAGACAACTACCCCTAGGGAAGTTGTCCGGGGGGGGGTAGTTATCCCAGAGGATAGTTGTCGTAGGGGTTAGTTGTCCGGGGGTAGTGTCCGGGGGTAGTTGTCCTAGGGGTAGTTGTCCGGGGGTAATTGTCCTAGGGGTAAGTTGTCCTGGGGGTAGTTGTCCTGGGGGTAGTTGTCCTGAGGGTAGCTGACCGGGGGAGGTTATCCAAAGGGGTGGATGTCCAGGGGGTAGGGGTCCGGAAACGGATTTTTCTATTTCCTCTATCTATTTTTATTTGTATGTTACTTAAAGTTTTTTTTAAATCTGTATTTATACTTTGTAAATAATTTGTATCTATTCCTTGTAAATAATTTGTATTTATTCTTTGTAAATATTTTTTTGGGGTGGTAATTATGTTATCATAAGGGACAAAATACGAAACTATTATGCACGTGTGAAGTAGGGTACTTACGTTTACCAGTACCATTGGTCAAAATATTGCCCAATAGAGGGTTGGGTTGACTATTGGCATAACGTTGGGCAAAGTGTTGAAAAAATATTGCCCAACCTTTTAACAGTGTATAAGCCATTGCATGACAGCATCCTAACAGTTCCGGACAAATTTTTCCCTTGAAGCCCCGGACAAAATTTTGAAAAGAACAGTTTTTTAGGGGGGGGGGAGAAAAAAAATCTGCACCCCCCCCACTCTTACATGGTACATGCAGGCCCCGCGGAACGTTTTTCAAAGCGGGGGGGGGGGGAGGGCTT